AGCGTGGTGTGGTCTCGAAAGAAGGAGCGGGAAGCACCTGAGTCAAGGGTGAAGGTGTGTACGGCCTGAGCCGACGTGGTACCTGAGAGAGCAGACTCACCAGCACCTGGGGCAGCGGACGCACTAGCACCTAGAGCAGGAGCCTCACCAGCACCTAGAGCAGCAGCCTCAAAGCCCGGGTCAGGCGGAACACACAGGTAACAGTCACCCTCATCACTAGTAGACACAGCATACATGGCAGCAAGAATAGCATCATAGTCAAGATCAAAGATAGCAACCCTCGCCCTAGACAGCTCTCCTCAGCGAGGGATCTCAGTGGCGTCAGGGAACTGGTGACGCCAAGCGTCGGTCAGGCGGCCGAAGCAGCGCTGGGTGGAGTGCGAGTCCCCGCACCGCTCACCAGCGCGGTCGCCGGTATGGAGGACGTAGGTACAGGGACCAGTACTCCCACCTCGCTGACGCGCAGCGTACCACTCACGAAGCTGCTGGGGGGACGGGGTCTCACGAGTGCGCTGCTGCAACTGGCGCGGACCACCACCGGAGCCACTCCTCTGTGCAGAGCCAGGACCAGCTCCACCGTCACCGCCGCCGCCTCCTCCGCCTCCACTGCTGCCACCAACACCTCCACCCCCGCCACCACTCCCACCACCACCCCCACCCCCTCCACTGCCTCCACCGCCACCTCCACCGCCCCCGCCAGCCCCTCCAGCGCCCTTGCCCTCCTTGCCCTTGCCGGTGCGGCGTCTCCCGCTAGGGGCAGACGCAGCGCCGACCGACTCGAAGCCAACAAGCTCGGCCGCAGAAGCAGAAGCAATAGAGGGCAAGAGGGGGGAGGGGGAACACCCCTCAAAGACGGGGGTACGAGGGGCACCACGAGAGGCACCTACAGCGACTATGCTGTTCTCTGCTGCCAGGAGGCGCTCCTCGAGGAAGTCAACAGTGAGTGTGGTGGGGCAAACTGAGAGGAAGTGGTCCCTGACCTAGCGAAGAGAGTCAGGGAGCCGGGTGACTATGTAGTAGAGGGTGATGTACATGGGGGGGGGGTTCTTGGCACATAACTCAGCAGGAAGCGCAGTGCGGTAGCGAGTGTCACTAGTGCGAAGGTGCGTAATGAGGTCAGCGACTGTGGGAAAGGCAGCAAGGTCAGGGAACAGGTAGGGCAGCATGAGGTGGCTAAGAGCAGCAGTGGCAGGGGAAGAGTAGCGTGCAACTACAGCGTCGTACAAGGTCTTAGCACTCTTGTACTGACTAAAGTGCGCACGCTCAGTGGTCGGTAAGTGGCGACGGACAGCAAGACGGGCAGCAGCATCGCGTGTGGCCCACTGTGAGCGAACAGTGCTGTCAGTAGTAGCAAGTGGGGCAGGAGAGGCACCATAGGTGAGATCAAACAGGGATAGTCCATCTGCCCTATCGCACTGTAGGAAGAGCTCGAGGTCATGGACCCAGACCTCAAAGTCAACAACACGACCCTCAGCATCAAAGGTAAGGACACTGGGGGTAGCCATGACAGCAATGGACTAGTAGGGAGTGCTCTCACCAGTCCGGGTGGGTAGGGCCGGTGCGCGCCGGTAGGAACAGTAGCGGCTTGGCGGCTCGGCGGCTCGGTTGCTCGGCTGCTCGGCTGCTGGGCGGCTCGGCTGCTGGGCGGCTCGGCTGCTGGGCGGCTCGGCTGCTGGGCGGCTCGGCGGCTGGGCGGCTGGGCGGCTCGGCGGTTCGGCTGCTTGGCAGCTGAAGGGGCCGTGAAGGGCGGCGACGGGGCTGCTAGAGGCGGCGACGGGGCCGCAAGAGGCGGCGACGGGGCTGCTAGAGGCGGCGACGGGGCCGCGAAGGGCGGCGACGGGGCAGCTAGAGGCGGCGGCGGGGCCGCGAAGGGCGGCGACGGGGCCGCTAGGAGCGGCGACGGGGCCGCGAAGGGCGGCAACGGGGCCGTGAAGGGCGGCGACGGGGCCGCTAGGAGCGGCGACGGGGCCGCGAAGGGCGGCGACGGGGCCGCGAATGGCGGCGATGGGGCCGCAAAGGGCGGCGACGGGGCCGCTAGGAGCGGCGACGGAGCCGCTAGGGGCGGCAACGGGGCCGATAGGGGCGGCGAAGGGGCCGCTAGGGGCGGCGACGGGGCCGCAAAGGGGCCGCGAGGGGCCTCGAAGGGCGGCGACGGGGCCGCTAGGGGCGGCGACGGGGCCGCGAGGGGCCTAGACGGGGCGGGTACGGGGCCGCGAAGGGGCCGCGAGGGGCCTAGAGGGGCGGCGACGGGGCCGCAAAGGACGGCGACGGGGCCGTAAGGGGTGGCGAGAGGGCCGCTAAGGGTGGCACGAGGGGCCGTGAGAGGTGACGTGAGGGCGGCCAACGGGGCGCGCCTTGGGCAGGGGCGACTCGTGCTCTGGTCAGGAAAAAAAAAAAGTCGATTTCAGTGGTGGGCCCTGAGAAGCGTTCCCACTAGGGAACCTGCTCTATACCATGTGAAGAATTGAGGAATGAATGAACTAGCAAGCAGGCGGGTACAAGTAGGAAAACCTAAAGGTGTTGTACCCCATAAGGTCTACCCCACTACAGCCTACTTAGACTATAGCATATGAGTTTGACACCTTGCTCTAGGCTAGTGAGTTGTTGAAGTAGTTGTGCGAGGACGGCGGAAGGAATGGTCGTCGTTTCCTTGCCTGTCGTAGCTAGGTTGGGTTGCACTTCAGTCGTCACATTCGTCTGACCACCGGATCCTCCGGCCATTCTCACACGCGATCGTGTGCCGGACGCCACTTGCCGAATGTCGAAGATTTCGGAGGTGGCAGTGCGAAGGATTCCCGAGTTGCTCTCGTACCATGTTGCGATCAAAAATGTTATCGACCCTAAGATATCCTCGGGAAGGTTCGCACACAACTGAGTAGCGGGCCCTTGACCTCAATAGCAGAGTGAATGTAAAATGCTTGAGATAATTTAAACATGCAAATACAGAAAGTACAAATATTAGTACAAAGGAATTCGAATCGTCCTAGCTAGCCATGTACTCTAAGGGGTGCATTCCCTTATTCAAATTCATCCCCAATCGTGCGACGCGTACAGTTACGAAACTGTTCCCGCCAGGTTCCTCTTGCCTGCAGCTGCCCGATGCTGTCTGCTTCGACAGTCCAGATCCACCCCATCCGTCTGTGTCGCTTCGAGTCAACTCTGACTCTTCGCATTTGTTCTCGATACTACGTGCTTCCCTTAGATGCAGTTAGGAGTGCACACTGATGTTTCATTCATGGATTATTTATATTTGAAGCCAACATCCATTTCAATATTGATGCTTGGGTGTAAAAAAAAAACATGCCAACTATATAGCCTGAAAAATGCGCTTATTAAAACGATATGACTAGATGTATTTTTGGGTTGCGTAGCAACCCTTTATATTTGGTTTCACATTTTGGGGATATCATTTGAATTGTGTATTTACGCACTTTTTGGAGCACCCGTTTTGAATGTTTTGAAACTGTGTTCAAACAGATGCCTCAAATAATGGATAAAAAACACCCTTGAATGACATCCCCATATGTAAAACCAAATACTGGAACGCACGTACGTATCATGTTGAAACCATGAACTTGCTCGACCGTCCCAACCTCGTCGATATATATGGCGGATCGTACGGCCGAGCATAAAATTCTGGCATCAACAAGAACGAATGAACAACAAGGTATGTGGTGGAATGGATGCTTCAAAATGAATGTTAAAATGCATCATGCAGCAACAGAGGTTGATGGGGTCGTTGAAACAGCGGAAACTCGCTGCCCCAAAGATGATTAACAACCTCTTATTGCATACATAACACATAATAACACCACACTTTGAAACACACATGTGAAAGTTTAGAAGAAAGAAGAGGGCTGCACTAGCAAGAATGGGGATACAAATAGCAAACCCTAGAAGGGTTGTACTCGCTATAGAGCACCCCACTACAGGCTAGAGCATAAGATAACATTTAGACACACCCCCATAGCCAAAGTGGGGTGTAATCAGCAGAGCAAGCAAAGCAGTACAAGCTCAGGGTGGATCACAATGTCACCACACATTCTGAGCACAAGTTCAAGAAGCAATAGTTTAAAGTTCACAATTATGAGCAAAGCTAGTGGTAGTCACAACGGGCAAGTGAGGAGGAGGAGAGAGAGTGAGAGGAGAGGAGATAGGAGGCGACGGATGAAGCTGCAGACACACGGGCAACAGGAGGCACACTGGCACAGCGGCTACCGGAACAACACTCCGGAATACTGGAGTAGCTGGCCTCGCGGCTAAAGTAGCGGCAGACGAGCAACGGACCCACGGGCGGCTGGCACAGCTGGCTACGACTGGGCTACCGGACGAAGTCCCCGGAATACAGGTGCTGCTGGCGACACGACGGCAACCTCCATTCAGCTTCCCCAAACTATCCCACTCCCCCCTGGCACACACCCGCTGCTACCCGCTAGCTCCACTCCCCCTTCACCCCCCCATAGTACCACTCCACTGGCTCCAACACGTCCACCCCCCCTCAGCGATAGCTGCAGCACAGGGAGACGGAGGAGGAGGAGGAGCAGGGGAGACCACACACCCGCCACCCCTCTGGTCGGCCCCCGAAGGAGCCGCGACGGGCGACGGGAAAAGGGGGGGGGGGGGGAGGGGTGTGCACGTGCCGTAGGTAGCGCGACGGGGCCGGTACGCAGGTAGGGCGACGGGGCCGGGGTCAGAGGTGGGGCGTCGGGGCCGGGGTCGCAGGCAGGGCGACGGGGCCGGAGCGCAGGTAGGGCGACGGGGCCGGGGCCGTAGGTAGGGCGATGGGGTGCGACGCGCGGGTCCCCGTCGCCCATCGCAGCGCCTCCCGGGGGCGACGCGCTGAGTGACGGGGCAGAGACCCGTCGCGCGCCTCGGGGCGCACGGCGGGCAGAAAACTGCCGCGCGCCTCGGGGCGCACGGCGGGCAGAAAACTGCCGCTTTCACGCGCACTTTCACGCACTCTCTCATGTGCTCTCTCATGCGCTCTCTCACACGCTCTCATGCGCCCTCTCGTGCTCTCTCATGCACTCTCTCATGCGCTCTCTCAAGGCGCACTCTCAGCCACTCTCACGCACTCTCTCTCTCTCTCTCTCATTCTCACCGCGTTCTCTCTCTCACGCGCTCCCTCACACGCTCCCTCACACGCTCTCTCACACACTCTCACGCGCTCTCTCACGCGCTCTCTCACGCACTCTCTCACGCACTCTCTCATGTGCTCTCTCACGCGCTCTCACACACGCGCTCTCTTGCGCTCTCTCACGCGCTCTCTTGCGCTCGCTCACGCGTTCTCTCACGCGCTCTCTCACGCGCTCTGTCACGCGCTCTCTCACGGGCTTTCTCACGCGCTCTCTCACGCGCACCCTCACGCGCTCTCTCACGGGCTCTCTCACGCGCTCTCTCACGCGCTCTCTCACGCGCACCCTCACGCGCTCTCTCATGCGCTCCCTCACGCGCTCTCTCATGCGCTCTCTCACGCGCTCTCTCACGCCCTCTCTCACACGCTCTCATATGCGCACACACTCTCCCTCGCGCTCCATCTCTTTCTTATTCAAATGAAAGTGCAATGCAAGTGGAGATCAATCGACACATTGGAGAGAAAAAAAAAATCAAAACAAAACAAAACAAAACAGGACGGAAATTTCAGAAGGGGGAAGGGAGGACGGAAGGACCAGGAACGCACCTGATAACCATGGTGCCTGAGAAAACAACCCGCGCTCGCGCACCAATCTGCGCTTGCGCTCGTGCACCTGTCGCCGGACAAGACGGCGGAGAGGGAAGGAGAGGCGACGGCGGGGAGTGGGGAGAGGCGACCGCGGGGAGGAGCGAGAGGCGACGGCGGGGAGGAGGGAGAGGCGACCGTAGGGAGGAGGGAAAGGCGACGGCGGGGAGGAGGAGAGGCGACGGCGGGGAAGGAGGAGATGCGACGGCGGGGAGGAGGAGAGGCGACGGCGGGGAGGAGGAGAGGCGACGGCAGGGAGGAGGGAGGCGACGGCGGGGAGGAGGCAGAGGCGACGGCGGGGGGAGATGCGACGGTGGGGAGGAGGATAGGCGACGGCGAGGAGGAGGGAGGCGACGGCGGGGAGGTAAGGGAGCGGAGATGGCGGGGTGGATGGGACGGAGTGATTGTGAGGTGGGTTGGAGAGGTGCCAGCGGGTAGTGAGGGAGAGGATACGGCTGGATGGAGCGAGAGCGACGGCTAGGTGGGAGAAGAACTGGCGAGAAGGGGTGGGGGGAGGGGAGGAAAAGGAGTAGGAGTAGAGCAAGTTCTTGTCGAGAAGATTCAAGAACAAGAACCAAGAAAAGACAGCGCCGAATTCGAGCTGTGAAAGAGACGGATGCCAGCGCAGAACGAGAAAATTTCTGCCAGCAGAGCGAGAAAATTTATGGCGTGTTACATTTTTCATTTTTCCGTCCTGACGGCCAGCCGTCCGGACGACTGTGTGGTTACTGAACTCGTTAAATCTCGGCATTGAGTTCGTCAGGGTCTAAACGACGTCGCATTCTTCGTATTGCCTCCTTACGACAATGAATTGGTCGCAACGACGTCGCAATTTTCGCACGTGTCCGGACAGCCTTCCGGACTTTCACCGACTTCAAAAAATGTAGCACGCCCTTATGCCAGCACAGGAGGAGGGCATTCAGCGATGCCAAACGCCCAATCCGCTATAATAACATGAAAGAACAATGGAGTTAAAGCCAGGCAAAATAGTGACCCCCCCCTTCTAGTTGGGTCCACTTGAAGATGAAGTATTTTTGTTTGGTTTTGGAATGTTGGAATTGCTGGATGTGTGCTTTTTTTTCCGACCCTCGGACGAGTTTCTTATTGGACCAGGAACGATAGTTCATTGTCAATTCTGATTGGCAGCCAGGTTCTCTCACATACACATGTGCGAATTTGGCACAAAGTTGAGCGACGAGCACTCCTGCATTCACTAGAGCCATTACTTCACCAAATTCACAACTAGCAACTGTGAAAGGAATGAACAGGAATGAATTGACTAAGTCAGAGTTGGGTACAAATACAACCCTAGTAAACTGTACCCCATATGTGCTACCCCACTATAGCCTACAAACATGCATCAGCTATAATAATCTGACACACCCCCATAGGCAAAGTGGGGGAGAACAAAGGGTCACAAGACCAGTCAAGCAAAGCAAAGCAAAGCAAGCTCAGGGTGGATCACAAAGTCACCACACAGTCCGAGCACAAGAGTAAGGCCAGAGGCCAGTTCACATGCAGGAGTACAGACATATATATAAAACTAGACAAGCCAGAGCAGGTATATATATGTCAAAGTACAAGTAAAGTCAAGAAGAGAGCAAGTGAGGCAAGACAGGTACAAGACCCAGCTGGGTACAAAAGCGCTGATGGTCGCAAGGCGCAAGTGCCTTGGTGAACACATCAGCAGTGTTGGCCTCAGAGGCCACGTAAGCAAGTCGCAACTGACCACGCTGCTGCAGCTCACGAGCAAGGAAGTAGCGGAGAGCAATGTGCTTCGTTCTGTGCTCCAAGCGCTGCTCTCGACACAAGGCCAACATGGCCTTGTTGTCCACGTACAGCACTGGAGGAGAACGAGGCAGCTCTCCAAGGTCAGTCAGCAGGTAGGTGAGCCAGCGAAGCTCCTGTGCAGCCATGGCCCCGGCGTAGATCTCAGCCTCACAACTGGAGCCGAGAACCGAAGACGAGCGAGTAGACCGCCACGAGACAGAGCCGGAACCAAGGCTGAAGGTGTAACCCTGTGACGACCGCTGCGTAGCCTGGTCGTCAGCCCAAGAAGCGTCTGCGTGCCCAGTAAGGACCACTGGACTCCGCCCTCCAAGCACTAGCCCCATGCCCGACGTACTGCACAGGTAGCGCAATACCCTCTTCGCTGCAGCCATGTGCTCTGGTCGGTGTCTCCCAGGAGCAACATAGCGTGCAAGGATGCTCAGAGGGTATGCAAGGTCAGGTCGTGTGCAGGTCATCAGGTACATGAGGCAGCCAACAAGCTCTGCATACGGACCACTCGACTCTACGGACTCATCCGAAGGCAGAGCTGAGAGTGAGTGGCGAGTAGGCAGAGGAGTGGCCTGAGGCGAGGAGTACGTGAAGCCGAAGCGCTGAAGGACCTGCTGCACCATGTGTGACTGAGTCAGGGTAATGGTGCGGCGTGCTCTGTCCCGAGTGATCTGCAAGCCAAGGTAGCTGCGCAGTTCACCCAGGTATGTGCACGTGTGTCTCTTCAGCAGCTCGGACTTCACGTAGGCGAGTCCAGCAGTGTCCGCTGTGGCAAAGACCAAGTCGTCAACGTACACGAGGATGTAGAACGGCGGCAGGGAAGTGTCGGTGCGAAGAAACAGCGACGGGTCAGCAGTAGAAGGAGCAAACCCAAGAGCCGCAAGCGTAGTCCTCAGTGTGTCGTGCCACTCACGCGGTGCCTGGCGGAGACCGTAGACTGGCCGTCGGAGGCTCCACTGGGTGCCAGGAGGGAAAGTCCCAGTGAAGCCAGGCGGACGGCGCAGCCAGATCTCCTCGTGCAGGCTACCCTGCAGGAACGCAGTGCTGAAGTCGAGAGAGTGAAGCTCGTAGTCGCGCTGAGCGGCAATGTGCAGCAGCACCCGAAGAGTGGTCATCTTCGGGGTGGGAGAGAAGGTCTGAAAGTAGTCAACTCCCTGCCGCTGTCTGAAGCCACGAGCCACGTAGCGCGCCTTGAAGACAGGCGGCGAGCCCGGCGGCCGCTTCACCCTGAAGATCCACATGCCACTGACGATGTTCGCCCCAGGAGGGGGAACCGCGTCAACGTAGGTGCCTGTGGACTTCCAGGAAGCCATCTCTGCATCCATAGCTGCCTGCCACTGAGAGGAGTAGGGACCCTCTACGGCCTCCGCGTAAGAACGCGGAGTCGGGATGTCTAGTGCATCCGGGTCTCCCTCAGGGGCTAGCAGTACAGACGCGAGACGAGGTGAAGCAGCGGCTAGACACTGGAACTCCTCCTGCCTGTCCTCTAGGACGTCCGTGCCAAGGGCACACTCACCCCCGACGGACGGAGGACAGGCGGACTCTGACTCAGCGACAAGACGAGCAGCGTAGTCTAGACGACAGCGCGCAGCAAAGTCGACAAGCTGAGTGACAAGGGCAGACGCAGCAGACGACTCGAAGGAAGGGTCAGTGACAGCAGTAGCAAGGAGACGCGTGACAGTAGGACTGGCAGCACGAAGAGAGTCCGACTCCGGGTCGGCAAGAGCAGGAAGAGAGGAAGCAGGAGGAGAAGGCAAAGGGGCACGCAGAGGAGCACTGGACGGACGCAGTGACATCCGGTGCGTGCCAGGGACAAGAGGAGGACGCTGACGCGACCCGCGACCACTAGCGCGCTCAGTACGATTAGGCGACGCAGGACGAGACGCAGGCTCACGACGCTCAGTAAGGCCTCCAGTCGGACCAGCGTAGGGAGAAGGAGCAGGCAAAGGGGAGGCAGGCTCTAGCTGTGGCTGTGACCGGACAGGCTGCGGACCCTCTAAGGGAGGAGGAGGAGGAGCAAGACCAAGAACCTGCTCCAGGAGCGGAACGAAGTACGGTCGAGACCGCGCGGCGACGCCAGAAACAGCAGGAACAGAACCAGCAGCTCCGGCCGGAGCACCCACTCCAGCAGCACCTCCAGCAGAACCACCAGAAGCTCCAGAACCTCCAGCAGCAGCACCAGGAGCACCGTCAGTCGGACCACCAACCGCAGGCTCAGCGCCAACGTCCTCAGCAGGACCAGCTCCAGGAGAACCCTCAGACCCAGCAGCTCCAGCACCCACAGGACGAGCACCGCCAGGTCGCGTGGCAGCAGCGCCCTCCGCAGCCGAAGAACCACCAGCACCAGCGGCACGTCTCCAGCGCCGGGCAAACCACTCACGCAACTCCTGTGGAGAGAGCGGCTCCTGGCGAGACGAAGCACTCCCAGGCACAGCACCTCCAGGCTCGGCACCTCCAGGCTCAGCACCTCCAGGCTCAGCACCCCAAGGCTCAGTACCCCCAGACACAGCACCCCCAGGCACAGCACCCCCAGGCTCAGCACCCCCAGGCACAGCACCCCTAGGCTCAGCACCCCCAGGCCCAGCACCCCCAGACTCCGCACCCCCAGGCTCAGCACCTCCAGGCTCAGCACCCCTAGACTCCGCACCCCCAGGCTCAGCTCCCGCAGCAGCACCAGAGTCACCAGTGACCTCGACAGGCTCGACCGCGTCTACCTGAGACACACCTGAAGGGGCAGGACCCTGAGGGGGGAGGGGGACTACCGGGGGGGGACCTGGTACCAAGAAGAGCGGGGGTGGGGGGAGGGACGGAGTGCGGTAGGGGAAGAGGCGGTAGTAGGGTACCGACTCGTCGAACGTGACGTCCTGGGAGGACAGAACACGTCGAGAGGTGGGGTGGTAAAACTGCCACCCAGGGGCGTCGGGGGGGAACCCGAGGAAGACGCAGGGAGAAGCACGAGGGGACAGCTTGTCCGCAGACAGGTCGCGAACAAACGCCCGAGATCCCCAGACCCGGAACGCCGACGCATCGCCAACCTTCCCCGTCCACAACAGAGCTGGGGAGGTCTCCGGTCGAGAGACCCTGGGGTGGAGGTTGATCTGGTGCGCAGCGTACCTGACCGCAAACGGCCACAGAAAATGGGGAGCAGCCGCATGCATCATGGACGTACGAGCGACGTCCATGACCATGCCAATGCGGCGCTCAGCGATCCCATTCTGCTGTGGTGAGTCCGGAAGCGTGAAGGTCTGACAGATGCCTCGCACACGACAGTAGGCACTCAGGAGGGCAGAGGAGAACTCTCCGCCTCTGTCCGAGTGCAGACGCAAAACAGGGAAGTCAGAGCCAAAGCTTCTCCGAAGCTGAAGACGAGCTACGCGGATCCAGTCGATCAACACCTGAGTGACCTCACCCTTGCTGCGCAAGGGGAAGACTGTGGTGTAACGCGAGTAGTCGTCAACCACCAGCAGGAAGTAGTGCTCCTGACCCTGTCCACGGACGCGGGCTGGGCCCCACACGTCCATGTGAAGCGTCTGCAACGGGGCCTCTGTCGGAGGAAACTGGGAGGAGTGAGGGGCAGCACGCTGGCGCCCCTCGACACAGGGGACACAGGCAGGGCCAGGGCCCGGAGGAAGGGGAGGGAGGGACCGGGGAAGACCAGACACAAGGACCCGCGAGGCCATGCCTCTGAGCCGAAGCAGAGAGGGGTGGCCAAGGCGGTGGTGCCAGAGGAGGGTCTCGTGAGACAGACGACGACACGAACAAGGGGCAGACTCAGGACCAGACCTGGACGCTGCAGCAAACACCTGACCAGACGAAGGGACCCTACCAGACGCAGTACCTGGAGGAGAAGCAGTGGTCAGTGTGTACAGGCTCGACCCCGGCCGACGTGTAAACGTAGCCAGGTGGCGACCTGTATCCGCCTCCGTACAGTGGGTCACCCGCTGACGAGCAGGGGTGAACTGGTGGACACCTGCATCCTGGAGGTCAGCACCACTCACCAAGTTCGTCGAGAACGAGGGGAGGTAGAGACCAGTCAGGGTGCCAGAGGGGGCCGCCGGACACGGGAGGACTGTGGAGAAGCGAGACAGGACAGGCCCCCCAGAGGGGTCCGCCAGGGACACCGCAACAGGCCGACTCAGCGGCGTGAGAGTGGTGCGGCCCCTAAAGAAGGAGCGAGACGCTCCAGAGTCAAGGGTGAAGGTGTGAGAGGCCGAAGCCGACACAGTACCTGAGAGGGCGGACTCACCAGTACCTGAAAGCACAGACGCACTGGCACCTAGAGCAGCAGCCTCACTAGTACCTGACGCGGCAGTACCAATGCCCGGGTCGGGCGGGAAACACCGGTAACAGTCATCCTCATCACTACCAGTCACAGCATACATAGCAGAGAGAATAGCATCAAAATCAAGATCATAAATAGCTACACCAGCCCTAGACAGCTCTCCCCAGCGGGGGATCTCAGCGGCCTCCGGAAACTGCTGACGCCAGGCGTCGGTCAGGCGGCCAAAGCAGCGACGGGCTGTGTGGGCGCCTCCACACCTCTCCCCTGCACGGTCACCAGTGCGAAGAACGTAGGGGCAGGGACCAAGCGCACCACCGCGCTGACGCTGCAAGTACCACTCACGGAGCTGCTGAGGGCCGGGGACGGTGCGAGAGCGCTGCTGCTGCTGCGGCTGCTGCTGCTGCGGCTGCTGCTGCTGCTGCTGCTGGCGCTGACCACCCCCAGAGCTGCTCCGCTGGGACGAGCCACTCCGACTCCCTCCTCCACCGCCACCCCCGCCTCCACCGCCACCCCCGTCGCCACCGCCACCTCCCCCACCAGGACCGTCGCTCCCACCGCTCCCACCGCCTCCTCCGCTACCACCTCCGCCGCCACCTCCGCCTCCACCGCCGCCACTACTACCTCCACTCCCGCCACCACCCCCCCCGCCACCCCCACTCCCCCCTCCACCCCCACCGCCTCCTCCACCGCCCCCTCTGGCTCCACCCGCTCCCTTGCCCCCCTTGCCCTTGCCAGCGCGGCGTCTGCCACTGGGGGCAGACGCCGTGCCGACCGACTCAAAACCAACGAGGTCGGCCGCAGCGGCAGAGGCGACAGAGGGCAGCAGGGGGGAGGGACCACACCCCTCAAAGATGGGGGTGCGAGGGTCACCCCTTGAGGCCCCTACAGCGACAATACTCTTCTCAGCCGCTAGCAGGGACTCCTCAAGGAGGTCGACAGTGAGAGTGGTGGGACAGACAGAGAGAAACTGGTCCCTAACGACACGAAGGGACTCAGGGAGACGGGTGACGAGAAAGTAGAGAGTGATGTACATGGGAGGAGGGTTCGCAGCGCGGAACTCAGCAGGAAGGGCAGCGCGGTAGCGGGTGTCACTAGCGCGGAGGTGGGTAACGAGGTCAGCGACAGTGGGAAAGGAAGCGAGGTCAGGGAAGAGAAACGGTAGCATGAGGCGGCTAAGGGTAGCGGAGGAAGGGGAGGAGTAGCGCGCAACTACAGCGTCGTACAAGGCCTGAGCGGTCTTGTACTGACTAAAGTGGGCACGCTCAGAGGAAGGGAGGTGGCGACGCACAGCAAGACGTGCAGCAGCATCGCGGGTCGCCCACTTGGAGCGAACGGCAGAGTCAGCATCAGCAGGCGGGGCAGGGACAGCGCCAGAGACAAAGTCAAAGAGAGAGACCTCATCTACCGCATCACACAGTAAGTACAGCTGCAGGTCCTCGATCCAGACGGCAAAGTCAATGGCCCTCCCCTCAGCGTCAAAAGTGAGAACATTGGGGGTGGCCATGGCAGCAGCTGAAAGTCTCACCGGGATGGGAGAGTCGGGTAGGTCAGCAGCAGGCGGCTCGGGCTGCTCGGGCGGCTCGGGCGGCTCGGGCGACTCGGGCGGCTCGGGCGGCTCGGGCGGCTCGGGCGGCTCAGGTACCGGGCGGCTCGGCTGCTGCTGGGCGGCTCGGCTGCTGCTGGGCGGTTCGGCTGCTGCTGGGCGGCTCGGCTGCTGCTGGGCGGCTCGGCTGCTGATGGGCGGCTCGGCTGTTGTTGGGCGGCTCGGCTGCTGCTGGGCGGCTCGGCTGTAGTGTAGTGGCGGGGCCGGGACAAGGGACGGCGGGGCCGTCAGGGTGCAGCGGTGGGGCCGAGACAGGGGACGGCGGGGCCGTCAGGGTGCAGTGGCGGAGCCGGGATAGGCGCAGTGGCGGGGCCGCAGGGTGCAGCGGCGGGCCGTCAGGATGCAGCGGAGGGCCGCTGGAAGCACCCGCGGCTGAGCAGGCTGCGGGGCCGCGTCGTAGGAGGCGGCAGGGCCGCGGCTGAGCAGGCGGCGGAGGCCGCGTCGTAGAGGGCGGCGGGGGTCGCGGCTGAGCAGGCGGCGGAGGCCGCGGCGTCTGCAGGCGGCGGAGGCCGCGTCGTAGAGGGCGGCGGGGCCGCGGCTGAGCAGGCGGCGGGGACGCGTCTTAGCAGGCGGCGGGGCCGCGTCTTAGCAGGCGGCGGGGCCGCGTCTTAGCAGGCGGCGGGGCCGCGTCCGAGTAGGCGGCGGGGCCGCGACTGGGTGGCGGGGCCGCGTCTTAGTGGCAGGGCCGCGACTTAGTGGCGGGGCCGCGACGTAAGGGCGGGGCCGCGACGTAAGGGCGGGGCCGCGACTGGACGGCGGGGCCGCGAACGAAGGGCGGCGGGGCCGCAGGGGAAGGGCGACTCGGGGGGGTCGCTAAAAAAAAGGATCGCGCGCCTCGGGGCGCGCTTCGGTGGGCCCTAGGCGAAGTTCCCACAGGGAACCCGCTCTATACCATGTGAAAGGAATGAACAGGAATGAATTGACTAAGTCAGAGTTGGGTACAAATACAACCCTAGCAAACTGTACCCCATATGTGCTACCCCACTATAGCCTACAAACATGCATCAGCTATAATAATCTGACAGCAACATCTCACGCTAAATCCCAAGAAGACACACATGTACGTGATGAGAGTGAAAGTGTTTGAACGTTATTAGAGCTAGTAGAGCTCTGATCAATGTGATGCCTTGGACTTGAGGCCTGGGAGAGGTGCAATAACGGGAAACAGAAGAGAAAAACAGCACTAGGGGGGAAATTATGATGGGCAAGGTGACGCGAATGAAGAGAAAGAGGGAGGGCTACGGGAAACGGGAGGGCGACGGGAAGGGAGGGCGTAGGAAACGGGAGGGCGACGGAAGAAGGGGGGCGACGGGAAACGGGAGGGCGACAGAAGAAGGGGGGCGACAGGAAACGGGAGGGCGACGGGAAACGGGAGGGCGACGGGAAACGCAAGGGCGACGGGAAACGGGAGGGCGACGGGAAACGGGAGGGCGACGGGAAATGGGAGGGCGACGGGAAACGGGAGGGCGACGGGAAACGCGAGAGCGACGGGAAAAGGGAGGGCGACGGAAGAAGGGAGAGCGACGGGAAACGGGAGGGCGACGCGAAACGGGAGGGCGACGGAAAACGCGAGGGCGACGGGAAACGGGAGGGCGACGGGAAAAGGGAGGGCAACGGGAAACGGGAGGGGGGCGGGAAACGGGAGGGTGACGGAAAACGGGAGGGCGACGGGAGAAAAGATAGGCGACGGGAGAGAGGATAGGCGGCGGGAGAGAGGGTGTCGAGTGCGGAGATAACTGCAGCAACGGGAGCTAGGCTACGGGCTAGGCACGTGTGCTCGTGTGATCTCTGCGTTCTCTTTTCCTTAGTCGTTTTCCTTGTGTACACACTACTTGCTAGTTCACGGGGAAAATTGGTAAGAGTTTCACTAGGAAAAGTTCAGGACAATTGGTACAATGAAGTTGGCATAGCATGACTACATCAGAGCAAGCATTCAGGTCGGCCAACTGCCAGCGCAGCTTGGTCGACCGCGTTCCAGCACGACTTGGTCGACCGCACTCCAGCAAGGCAAGGTCGACGGCGTGCCAACGTCGCAGGTTGACGGCGTGCCAGCGTTGCTCACGCAGGACAGCAGTGCACCCGCCTCGCAGGTGTGCGTAGCTGATTGGCGTGCAGAGTCCCGTCACCTGCACAGCGCACACTCCACGTCAACCTCGAGCTGACGACTGCCTCTGGTCCGCCACGACGACCTCGGGATACCACCACCGAGGTCGTGCTCGCCACCTTTGCCTGGGCGACCGTCGCACTTCTCCGCAGCACTTCGTCACCCAGGTAACCTGGTCGACCGGGCAACCACGTCGACCAGCAGCTCTTGCACGTGCCCGTCGACCTCCCAAGTCGACGACCACCCCAAGTCGAACTCCTCAGGTCGACCACTACTCCCTGGTCGACCAGCTCCCAGTCGACGTCACTCCTGGTCGACCAGAAGGGCTGGTCGACTTCCCAGGTCGACCAGGATGGTCTGGTCGACGTCCCAGGTCGACCAGAAGGTCTGGTCGACGTCCCAGGTCGACCAGAAGGGCTGGTCGACTTCCCAGGTCGACCAGACAAAGTTGGCGCCCTCCTGAAGTCGGCGCCCATGCAGTGGCTCCCCGTGCAGGTCGACTAACCTCGTCGACCAACTCGCCCACTACTGCAGGTCGGCTGCACCCTACACCCGACCACGAAGTCGGCTCCGCCCAGGCGTGGACGGGGCCAACATACAACTCCCGTTGACATCGAGAATAGATGGAAAGACAGAAAAAACAAACAAACCAAACACAATAACAGAGTACGGAATGGGTCACGCTGACGCGATAGCAGAGGGAGAACGAGAGAGGCGACGGAGAAAGGAGGGCATACGTGATGGGAGAGTCGAAGGTCGCCGGGAGGGCTATTCGAGGCGAGCGAGAAGGGAGGATGGGAAGGGAGCAGAAAGAGAGAGGGCAATGGGAAGGGAGCGGAGAGAGAGAGCGCGACGGGAAGGGAGCGAAGAGAGAGCACGATTCGAAGGGAGGAGCAAGAGAGAGGGCGGAGCGGAGAGAGAGAAAACGATAGGAAGGGAGGGGCGAGAGAGAGGGCGATGGGAAGGGCGCGGAGAGAGGGAGCGCGACGGGTAGGAGGGGCGAGAGAGAGGGCGACGGGAAGGGAGCGGAGAGAGAGATCGCGACGGGAAGGGAGGGGCGAGAGAGAGGGCGATGGGAAGGGAGCGGAGAGAGAGAGCGCGACGGGAAGGGAGGGGCGAGAGAGAGGGCGACGGGAAGGGAGCGGAGAGAGAGAGCGCGACGGGAAGGGAGGGGCGAGAGAGAGGGCGAGGGGAAGGGAGCGGAGAGAGAGAGCGCGACGGGAAGGGAGCGGAGAGAGAGGCCGACGGGAAGGGAGCGGAGAGAGAGCGCGATTCGAAGGAGGAGCGAGAGAGAGGGCGGAGCGAAGAGAGAGAGAGCGATGGGAAGGGAGGGGCGAGAGAGAGGGCGACGGGAAGGGCGCGGAGAGAGAGAGCACGACAGGAAGGGAGGGGCGAGAGAGAGGGCGACGGGAAGGGAGCGGAGAGAGAGAGCGCGACGTGGCGAGCGACAGGAGGGCGATCGGTAGGGAGGGGCGAGAGAGAGGCCGACGGGAGGAGAGGAGGGGAGAGAGGGCGACGAAGAGGGCGACGGGACGGGCGACGAGATGGTGACGTGACGCGCGACGGAAAGGGAGACGGGTGGGCGATTTGGCGAACTCGAGGATAGCATAGTGGGCGATGAGAGGGGTGAGAGGAATGGGGTTCTCTGTGATCGCGAGGAAAATATCACTACGCAGCAACGGCGACGAAGTTGTCAAATTATAATGTTGTCTAGGCTTTAGTGGGGTAGCCCATATGGGGTACACATTTCTAGGGTTGCATATTTGTATCACTTTCATTCCATAGTCATCCCTTTCTCGTTCTAATTTCCTCATGGTATCGAGCAGGTTCCCCCGTGGGAACTGTGCCTAGGGCCCACCACATCGAGTTTTTTTTTTCCTGCCCGAAGCGCGCTCAGCCCGAGTCGCGCTCTGGGCTCTCACTTCGTCGAGCCGCCCTAGTGGCCCCAACGCCCTAGCGGCCGCGCAGCCCGTCGATTCGGCCCTGCCGCCCTTCGCTGCGGCCCCGCCGCCCTTCGCTGCGGCTCCGCCGCCCTTTGCTGCGGCCCCGCCGCCTCTCTCGCTGCGGCCCCGCCGCCCTTCTCAGCGGCCCCGCCGCCCTTCGCTGCGGCCCCGCCGCCCTTCGCTGCGGCCCCGCCGCCCGTCTCAGCGTCCCCGCCGCCCGTCGCTGCGGCTCCGCCGCCTCACATTGCAGCCCCACCGCCCTTCCCTGAGGCCCCGCCGCCCGTCTCAGCGGCCCCGCCGCCCTTCGTTGCGGCCCCGCCGCCTCTCTCGCTGCGGCCCCGCCACCCTTCTCAGCGGCCCCGCCGCCCTTCTCAGCGGCCCCGCCGCCTCTCTCACTGCGGCCCCGCCGCCCTTCTCAGCGGCCCCGCCGCCCTTCACGGCGGCCCCGCCGCCCTTCACTCCGGCCCCGCCGCCCCTCCCACTGCGGCCCTGCCACCTACCTTGCGGCCCCGCCGCCCTACCAGCGGCCCTACCGCCCTACACCGCCCACGCCGCCCGAACCGCCCAAGCCGCCCGAGCCGCCCGAGCCGCCCGAGTCGCCTGAGCCGCTGAGGAGCCGAGCCGCCCGAGCAGCCCGAGCCGCCCGACCTGCCCGAGCCGCCCGAGCCGCCTGAGCCGCTGAGGAACCGAGCCGCCCGAGCCGCCCGACCCGCCCGAGCCGCCCGACCCGCCCGAGCCACCTGAGGAGCCAAGCCGCTGGTGCCGCGGAGCCGCAGTTGCTGCTGAGCCGTCCGAGCAGCCGTGTTGCCGTGTTGCTGTGCTACTGAGCTGCCCGAACCGCCCTGTCTGCGAGAGCAGCGCTTCTGCCAATGCACTGCCCGTGTCCTATAGTTGGTACTGCTAGTCTACTGTTGTCATGGCTACCCCTAGTGTCCTCGCGTTTGACGCTGAGGGTCGAGCCATTGACCTTGAGGTCTTGGTCGACGACCTGCAACTGTTCTTACAGTGCGATAGGGCAGACGGTCTCTCTCTCTTTGACTTCACCTCTGGCGCCTCTCCTGCCCTTGCTGCTGATGCTGACCCCACTGTTCGCTCCCAGTGGGCCACGCGCGATGCTGCTGCACGTCTTGCTGTGCGTCGCCACCTGCCTACCACTAAGCGCGCGCACTTTAGTCAGTACAAGAGTGCTCAGACCTTGTACGACGCAGTAGTTGCGCGCTACTCTTCCCCTGCCACTGCTGCACTGAGCCGCCTCATGCTACCGTACCTCTTCCCTGACCTTGCTGCCTTTCCCACAGTCGCTGACCTCATTACGCACCTCCGCACTAGTGACACTTGCTACCGCGCCGCGCTTCCTGCTGAGTTCTGCGCCAAGAACCCCCCCCCCATGTACATCACTCTCTATTATATAGTCACCCGCCTCCCTGACTCTCTTCGTGTAGTCTGGGACCACTTCCTCTCAGTCTGTCCCACCACTCTCACTGTTGACCTCTTAGAGAAGCCCCTCCTAGCAGCGGAGAAGAGCATAGTCGCTGTAGGAGCCTCTCGTGGTGACCCTCGCACCCCCATCTTTGAGGGGTGTTCTCCTTCCCCCCTTTTGCCCTCTGTCGCCTCTACCGCTGCGGCCGACCTCGTTGGTCTTGAGTCGGTCGGTGCGGCGTGTGCCCCTAGCGGGAGACGCCGCTCTGGCAAGGGCAAGGAGGGCAAGGGCGCTGGTGGAGCTAGCGGGGGCGGTGGAGGTGGCGGTGGAGGCGGCGGAGGGAGTGGGGGTGGCGGTGGGAGTGGTGGCGGGGGTAAAGGTGTCGGTGGCAGCAGTGGAGGCGGAGGTGGCGGACGCGGCGGCGGTGCTAGCGGAGGCGGCGCTGGTGGCGGAGGTGGAGGAGGCGGTGGTGGAGGAGGTGGCGGTGGTCGGGGTGGCGCTTTGCAGCAGAGCAGCCCTGGTGGTGGTCAGCGCCAGCAACAGCAGCAGCAGCGTTATTGGGACATTCCCCCCCCTCAGGAGCTCCGTGAGTGGTACGCGCAGCGTCAGCGTGGTGGGGGTTTTTGTCCGTGCACCTATGTCCTTCGCTCTGGCGACCGCGCGGGTGAGCAGTGTGGGGGTGCCCACCCCACCCAGCGCTGCTTTGGCCGCCTGACGGACGCTTGGCGTCAGCAGTTCCCGGAGGCCAATGAGATCCCCCGCTGGGGAGAGCTTTCTAGGGAAGGCGTAGCAATCTATGATCTTGACTTTGATGCTATCCTTGCAGCCATGTATGCTGTGACTATTAGTGATGAGGGTGACTGTTACCGGTGTTTCCCGCCCGACCCGGGCATTGGTACTGCTGCTCTAGATGCTGGTGAGGCTGCTGCTCTAGGTGCCAGTGCGTCCGCGCCCTCAGGTGCTGGTGAGTCTGCGCTCTCAGGTACCACGTCGGCTTCGGCCTCCCTCACCTTCACACTTGACTCAGGGGCTTCTCGCTCCTTCTTTCAAGACCGCACCACACTCACCCCGCTTGGTCGGCTGTTTGCAGTCTCCCTGGCAGACCCCTCTGGGGGTCCTGTCCTCTCTCACTTCTCCACTGTCCTCCCGTGTCCGTCTGCCCCCTCTGGCACCTTGTCTGGTCTTTACCTCCCCTCGTTCTCTACGAACTTGGTGAGTGGTGCTGACCTGCAGGACTCGGGGGTTCACCTGTTTACTCGTGCAAGTTAGCGGGTGACCCACTGCTCGGACGCTCGCACAGGCCGGCACCTGGCCACGTTTACGCGTCGGCCGGGGTCGAGCCTCTACACCTCACCAATGGGTCTCCTCCTGTCCCTGCGTCTAGCCAGGTAGCTGCGTCGGGTCAGGTGTTTGCTGCAGCGTCCAGGTCTGGTCCTGAGTCTGCCCCCTGCTCGTGTCGCCTCCTGTCTCACGAGACTCTCCTGTGGCACCACCGTCTTGGTCACCCCTCCCTGCCTCGTCTCCGAGGCATGGCTTCCTGTGTCCTTGTCTCTGGTCTCCCCCGGTCCCTCCCTCCCCTTCCTCCAGGGCCTGGTCCTTCCTGTGTTCCCTGTGTCGAGGGGCGGCTCCGAGCTGCCCCTCACTCCTCTCAATTTCCCCCGACAGAGGCCCCGATGCAGACGCTTCACATGGACGTGTGGGGCCCGGCCCGCGTCCGTGGACAGGGTCACGAGCGCTACTTCCTGCTGGTGGTTGACGACTAGTCGCGTTACACCTCAGTCTTCCCCTTGCGCAGCAAGGGTGATGTCACTGAGGTGTTGATCGACTGGATCCGCGCAGCTTGTCTCCAGCTCAGGAGGAGCTTCGGCTCGGACTTTCCTGTTCTGCGTCTGCACTCTGACCGAGGCGGAGAGTTCTCCTCTGGCCTTCTGCGAGCCTACTGCCGTGCGCGAGGCATCCGCCAGACCTTCACGCTTTTGGACTCTCCACAGCAAAATGGGATTGCTGAGCGCCGCATTGGCATGGTCATGGACGTCGCTCATACGTCCATGATGCATGCGGCAGCCCCCCATTTTCTGTGGCCGTTTGCGGTTCGGTACGCGGCGCATCAGATCAACCTTCAGCCCAGGGTCTCCATGCCGGAGACCTCCCCAGCTCTGCTGTGGACGAGGAAGGTAGGCGATGCGTCTGCGTTCCGTGTCTGGGGATCTCGGGCATTTGTCCGCGACTTCTCTGCGGACAAACTGTCCCCTCGTGCTGCTCCTTGTGTCTTCCTTGGCTTCCCCCCTGACGCACCAGGGTGGCAGTTCTACCACCCCTCCTCTCGTCGTGTTCTGTCCTCCCAGGACGTCACGTTTGACGAGTCGGTCCCCTACTACCGTCTCTTCCCCTACCGCACTCCTTCCCTCCCCCCACCGCCGCACTTCCTTGTGCCAGGTCCCCCCAAGGAAGACCCCCTCCCCCCTCAGGGTCCTGCCCCTTCAGGTGTGTCCCAGGTAGACGCAGTCGAGCCGGTCGAGGTTGCTGGTGACTCTGGTACTGCTGCGGGTGCTGAGCCTGGAGGTGCTGACTCTGGGGGTGGTGCGCGAATGGGTGCTGAGCCTGGGGGTACTGAGTCTGGGGTTGCTGCGTCAAGAGCTGCTGAGCCTGAGGGTGCTGCGTCTGGAGCTACTAAGCCTGGGGGTGCTGCGTCTGGAGCTGTTGAGCCTAAGGGTGCTGCGTCTGGAGCTGCTGAGCCTGGGGGTACTGAGTCTAGAGCTACTGAGCCTGGGGGTGCGAAGCCCGCAGCCGCTGGACCGGCTCGTGTGGCGTCTAGCGGTGCTGGGCGTGGTGGTTCTCCGGGTACTTCGTCTCGGCGGGAGCCACTCTCTTCTCAGGAGCTGCGCGAGTGGTTTGCCCGGCGCTGGAGGTGTACTGCTGGAGCTGGTGCTTCTTCGGCTGCTAATGGTGCTGGTGCCGCCGGTCTCCGAGGTGCTAGCCCTGGGAGTGCTGGAGCTGCTGGGCCTGCGAGTGCGACTGGAGTCGGAGCTACTGAGGGTGTTGGCGCTCAGGCTATTGCTGTCAGTCCTAGCGGCCGTCCAGCTGCGGGTGCTGCTGGTGCTGTTGGAGGTACTGGAGCTAGAGGTGCTGTTGGCGCTGGAGCTGCCACTAGGGGTGCTGGTGCTGTCCCTGCTGTGTCTGGAGTCCCCGCGCGGCCTCGGCCGTACTTTCTTCCGCTCCTTCAGCAGGTTCTTGGTCTTCCTCCTC